ATTATGATCAATGTCGAAAACTATATTGATTAATATTGTATATTATATACAGTTTTATGTAAAGTTATAACCGAAATTCACTAGGATCTGTGTTAAGAAAAAATAATCCAAGAACACCTGTCAATTCGGGTTGTTGATTATTAATGTAGGTGTGAAATTTGATAGGCTTATGCGCAATTATTATTGATACTGTTCCTGAGGTGAATGTTGGTCCTGGAGTCAATAATAGAGATTCAGATCTATTAATTATTGTACCTGGAGCCAATTTATTTTCGTTAATCAGGTTAATATCTAAACAAGGATTAACTATGAAGAGCCCTCTATTTTCTTTTAAATTTTGGGAAGATATGTGGATATTTGGGTAAATAACTAAATTAAATGAAATTTCGTTGTTGTATCTATTCATTAAGAATTCTATTTAGTATTGGAATTCTTCGGAAAGAGAAGTTTCGGATAAAAGTGATAATACGGCGTCTGATTCGGCCTTGGATAGAGATTTCACGTCTCCAAATTGCTCTTTCATAAAAAACTGCTATTCTATTGAAATAATTTGTTTCATAAATTTGATCGAGAAATGGCGCACCAAGAATTCCAATAATTTCTGTTTCACTTTGATAATCGATAGTTTCAAATCTTAGAGAAAAATCGCTGAATTCTATTAATGTACTACCACTTGTGCAAATTGCACCTTGTCTTGCTGTTATTATGACGTTTTTATCTATAGATACAAACGATGATATTGCTGATTCTTTAACCAAATTTATTGTTAATGTATGATCAATAAGAAAATTACCTTTATGTGATTTAAAATTACCTGAGATTAATTTCACGTAAGGATAATTATGTTGATTATATTCAAGAATTGAGAAGTAATTATTCATTTGTGGTTACTAACCGAATTTTTAATAATAAACTGTCCACCAAACTATGGCGAAAAACATTACATATACAAGGAATGTAATAAAGTAAACAAAATACATTAAGAATTTTATTATAACCCTTTTATTTTAATTCTTGTTTACGGATATTAATTTCTCTGTTTGATGTAATAGTAAATCGAAGAATGTAGAAAAATCTTGTTGATTTTGAAGAATTGTTATATTAAGATTATCGGTTTTATCAAATCGCCTTTTTGCGTTTGTTCCTCCTCTATTTCTGGGTTTTCTATCAATTTTAGGTTTATCTGTCATAATCTAATCTGACTAAAAATAACATTGTTATTTTAGAAAATTGATATTACAAATAAATCAAAAAATTGAGACTTCTTTTCAATTGTTTGTGTAAACCAAGGGCTTAGACAGAATTCGCCGAACGGCGTAAAACGTCGAGTACAAAGTCAAAATTCGCCGGACGGCGTAAAATTGACCCTGCTAAGACCTCAAAATTCCAAATAATGATATTATCAAAATTTATTGATATGAAAACCTCGCCTGACGGCGTAGATCTCCAATTTTCAAAGCTATAGTTCGCTGAACGGCGTAAAAATAGCTTACTCAATAATATTTTGAATGATTTTATGAATTTATTAAACAGTCGGGTTTTAAATGCCCTAATTCTCAAGTTCGCCGGACGGCGTAAAATGAAAATATAACAAATTCTGTAATTCGCCGGACGGCGTAAGAACAAAACTGTTAGAGAATTTAAAATGACCGTTTACAAATGTTTATAGTGAAGTATATGAATAAACATTTAATGAAATATGATGTGTTTATAAGAGTGATATAATTGATTTTAAATAAATTTGAACCCTTAAAATTTTTGAAATTTGTTCTAAATAAATATGCCGAATTATTTGAGAATTTTCATAAAATTGTTTTTGCAACAAAAGTGACAATCCCACCGCTGCCACCAAATCAGCTGTTACGTTCCGAACTAGGCGTGGTTTTTAAATAAAAATGAATTTTATTTACTTAAAGGTAATAAGGCTGATTAACCAGGTTGGTAAAGCCTGATATTTATTTTTATGTAGGATCGTGGTCACTTGTCAAAACTACGGGTTTTGCGTTACAATAACAAGTCAAATATTCCCTTTTATAACATTTATTGATTAAATAATAATTATATAGTAATGATTAAACAATAATGATACAAGTTTACAATTCGTTTACTTAGTTTTAGCAATGAAGTCGGATAAATCGATGATTATAGCTTAGTCGTTATAAATTGGTTTTGATTTGATTTGAAATAGTTCGTTTTGGTTGCACTTGTGTAACTTTAACGACTTAAATTGTTTTATAACTATTTAAAGAATTGCAATATTCTTTATTGTTATTTCTCGTCACTCGCACCTTTGACAGGAATGAATTTTATAGCAGGTGTAAGAGAAGCAACATATACTAAATTGACAAATTTAGAAAAAGAGATAATGCAGGATTTCTTTAGTATTTATAGTTATAAATACGACAGTTATTTCTATTAAATTATTGATTCTAAGTGTTAATTTGCTTCTCTTGCACCTATTGGCTATCAGGAAAGAACTATGTTCTAAGTGAAAAGTCAAATTAACTTGCACCTATTGGCTATCAGGAAAGAATACAATAATTAGGGCGAAAGTAAACTGAAGGGTCGCTCTACGATGTTAGAGATTGCACCGGAACTTTTGACAAGCTTTATGAAAAAAGCTCTTGTTTATATACTAGTCGATTATGCTAATTAGTGGGAGAAGTGTCATATTATTGAGGAAGGGGTGATCTATAAATAGAATGACTTTCCTTATATGGTAATGATCTACATCGCATGTATGACATTGAATCTTCTTCTTTCTGAATTCTCTCTTTTATATGCTGACAATGGGCTTTTGAAGATCATGTTACACTTGGATCTTCACAACCTTCACATTCTTCACGCGTATAAACAAACAAGCTCGAACTTGCTTCACATTTTGCTTACATATATCCTATTTTTAGCTTTTCAACTTTCTGAACTTTTATGGTGAAAACGAATGTCATATCTCTTTTGAGATCGATTTCGTTTCCACATTCTATCCTAGCAATATATACATAAATAAATACATTAAAATAAGACATATAGTTTAAGTATTGTAAAATTATCATAGAATTATATAAAAAGTCTTATTTTAACGATAATTTTAAGGAAAATTAGGGAAAATTGTTACCGGGATGTAACACGCGAAAAATTAGAAAATTGTGAAGACAAGTTTTTCGAATTACGCGACGGATTAGTGTATCGAAAAATGAACAATGATAATATTTTATTTTATGTACCAGAATGTCTGATTGATCATGTTATTCGCACTTGTCTAGACGATTTAGGACATGTAGGATTTGATAAAGTTGTTAATAATTGTTAACGGTATATTGGTTTCCGAATTTGCGACAGAGAGTTAAAGAATATATAAGAAATTGTTTAAGATGCATCGAATTCTACCCTCAGAGCGAAAAAAGCGAGGGATTCATGCACAGTATTGACAAAATCGGCGTTCCTTTCGATACAATTCATATCGACCATTATGGCCCTTTAGAAAAGACTAGAAAAGGAAATAAGTACATTTTTGAGATTGTAGATAGTTTTACAAAATTCATTAAATTGTATGCGTGTAAGTCAACGAAATCTGAAGAAGTTATGAATATATTGCGTGAATATTTCGAAAATTATAGCGTACTCAAACGTGTGATTAGCAACAGAGGTACATGTCTTACGTCTAAAATATTTTCCGAATTTCTTGAAGAAAAATGTATCAAGCACGTTTTAATTGCTCTAGGTACGCTACGGGCAAATGGTCAAATTGAGCGTTTTAATCGAGATTTGACACCCATGTTGTCAAAATTATGTGCAAATCCTGATGAATGGGATAAGTTATTAAACAAGCTGAATATTCAATTAATAACACAGTTTGTCGATCCACGGGTGAAACACCTAGCCGATTGTTATTCGGTGTCAATCAACAAGGTGAGATAAATGACACAATTAGAGAATTATCAGAAGAAAGGGTTAAGAATCAGCACGATCTTCCACAAATGCGACAAAATGCGTGTAAGCGAATTATCAAATCACAACAGAGTAATGAGCGAATGTATAAGGCGAGTCATAAAAAACTAATTGTGTATAGTGTGGGAAATTATGTGATGATAAAGAATTCAGATTCAACGCCATGTGTCAATAAAATGTTAATCCCGACGTTTAAGGGATCTTACGTTGTAAAAAAGGTCCTAGATTATGACCGCTATATTGTGAGCGACATTGAAGGATTTCAATTAACTCAAATCCCTTATACTGGGACTGTAGGCCCAGACCAGACGAAACATTGGATTAGAGCAGTAATTTAATAACGTTTCCGAGATTGTAAATCCCAGGTCTTTGTGTGGTAGTGACCCTTCAGATTTTATTTTTAATGCTTAAAATTATTATTGGTCGGGACGACCAAATTGTCAGAAATGGCCGAGCTGTAGGGAACAACTATTTTATGTATTATATTAAAAATACATATTTCTCTACATCTGCTTTTTGGGTTTTTCCAGAAGTAATAAAACACTGTTTTCTTACTTCTGTAATTTGCCTGAAGGATCGTTTGCCAAAAAGACCTAGGACCCCCTTCCTCATTTTTATTTTTGTAAACACCTTAAGCAGGTAAAGTTATAAAAACTTAAAATTTTTCTACCATTAGAAAGAGCAGGAATACATGAAAAAAATAGAATTTTTACCCTAAAATCGGTATAAAAATTAATTGCGACAAATTTTATCGTAGTTGAGGGCACCACCGTCTATTTGAATTAAAATTGGTTAAAATTACCCGCAAAAATTTTATCCAGCGTTTTTTCTTTGAAAAAACTTTTCAAAAACTATTCAAAAATTTACTGTTTACATTTATCAAAAAAATTCAACCCCCTCCCACAGAAATACCTAATAATGTGGTTAAAGTACTCACCAATAGGGCTAAACAATGTACAAGTTACATCCCGATCTAAACAACTTTTTTTCACTTAGTACGCTACAGGAATTTCACCCATACAGTAATTGTCCATATAATTTGATAATATTACCTTTGCTCCAACAGATCCGGCAACTTCCAACAGTCTAGTATTAAATTCGAGAGGTCGGCAGTTGCAAATTTTATTTTGTACCCTAAGTACTTCGAGACACCTTGCAGCACCATCCATAGCTTCCATTTGACACAAACGATCTCCAGTTGCTGCAGCAGATCCCATGGCACTTTCATATTGGCGAAATGCCTTCTGTAAAATACTTGCAATTTTATTTCAAACTATTTTTTTCCCTTATTTGAAATACTTTTCTTTCAAGTGTCAGTTGGAAAACTTTAAAAGAGTGAAAAAGCTGAAAACAAAAGTTGATAAACGAGTTATAAAAATTTATGCTTACATTTATATCGGACTTTTTTCTATAAATATCACCCATGATACGTATACTCCGCGCATAACTGGCTTGATCTCCGGAAACCAAAGATAGACGTGTTGCCTCCTGAAAGTAAAATTTCTTAGCAAAAATATTAAAAACGAAAAAATTGTCTTTAAATATAAAAAAGAGATATGGGCATATCTCTAGAACTTTTAAACTTTGAGATATTAGAAAAATTAATTTTTTTTCAGGGCACATTCGTGAAACAAATTTTATTGTCTTCAGTATTGATCAAATACTATAAAAAAATTTGCGTAACTCATTTTTACACATTGTTAGGCATCACAGTGGGCCTTATTGCAAAAAACCTGCCCAAAATTTCTACATGTGTTTAAAACTGACTGGAATTTGTAACTCGCGGATTTTTTTGGTCGCTGATTTCAAATGCGACGTTAGTTTTTTAAAATTCAAAATGGCGGATCCAATATGGCGGACGACTTTTAAAAAAATTGATCGAATTTGTCTGAAATTTGTTACTCGGGGGTTTTTTGTGTCGCTACCACCTTTAAAATGATTTAATGCTACAGTTTCAAAAATTTTATGGCCTATTGTGTATTAAGTCATAAGTAAATGTAGTTTATAACAATTTTTGAATTTTTTAAAATTATTTTTTAAAAAATTTTTTAAAAAATTTTGTTTGCAATTTTGGATCCACCATTTTGAATTTTGAAAAATTAAGTTCAGATTCGTAGTCAGCGACCCCATAAACCCACAAGTAACAAATTTTAGGCCAATGGGATCAATTTTGTAAAAAGTCATCCGCCATATTGAATCCGCCATTATGAATTTTGTAAAACTAAGTTCAGATTCGTAGTCAGCGACACAAAAAACCCCCGAGTAACGAATTTCAGGCCAATTGGATCAATTTTTTTAAAAGTCATCCGCCATATTGGATCCGCCATTTTGAATTTTGAAAAATAAAGTTCAGATTCATAATCAGCGACATCAAAAACCCCCAAGTAACAAATTTGAGGCCAATGGGATCACTTTTTTAAAAAGTCGTCCGCCATATTGGATTCGCCATTTTGAATTTTGGAAAATTTAAAATTCAGATTAGTAGTCGCAGCGACCCCAAAAACCTTCGAGTGAGAAATATCAGCCAGATTTAAACACATCTATTAGTTAATACTTACTTTTCTTCACAAACTATGCGTCAGACAGTTTAGGTTTATATTCATTATTAATTATACAGTTTTAATGAAGTGTGCAAAGGTTAACTATTTTTCTGTATACTTTTATAATGCATGAGAAGAGATTACAATGAGTTAGGAGCATTTAGAAGCAAAATTCAACATGTGCTTTTCAAATATGTGGTATTTTGATTTGAGTTACGTTTTAAAATTTAATGTTTGAAGTCATTGCATTTTTTGTGTAAAGGAGGCACACATTCCTGTATGGGTTCAAATTACTTCTTATTAGGTAGATAATATAATCCCGTTGTGCCGTTACTCAAAAACCTTCGTTAAAAAAGTTATATCAGTTTAACTGCTAACTTGTAGAAATTTTGAAAAAGTTGCCTCGCAAGTTTGAAGCTACATAGTTTTTATTCAATTTGAGGCACATCATTGTTTCATGGATTTTTTAGTTCTTTACACTCCCACCTACTTCTATTGCAAGCCACAAGACACACAATGTTTCGTTAAAAACGTTACAGTCTATAAACTAAAAAAAAACAGTCAATATCACACACTAGAAACTGTCGATTTCACCACTTTAACTTACGTTCGTCATTTCCTACATAATTAAAAAAATTATATAACGCATGATACATTTAAAAAGCCCTATAATTGGTCAAATTATGGTATTGAAAAATTATTTAAAAAATTCTTAAAGTATCATAATGAGCGATAACATAAAATTTAAAAGTTCTAGAGATATGCCCATATAGAAAGAATATAAATGATGTACCGAGCAGTAATCATGAGCATCACCCAATTCTCCCTTTTTTCTAAGAGCAGCAGCCATTTGCAGCAATGCAGCTCGATGATGTCTAGAATTTAAATCTCCAAGTTGTAAACTCCTTGATAAGTCATAAGCTCTCGCTGCATATCTTGAACTTTTATCTGCATCCTGTAATCTGCAAAATACTTCTGACAATCCAACGTAAACCTACAGACAATCAAAATAAATCGTTATTTAACTTTATATCTGTTACTGAAGTCCATTATTATATTTCGAATAATAATGACTGAATATATAAATAAAGAATGTAAAAAATATAGGGTAAGTGCATCAATTACGGTGCGTTCATAAAAAATAACCATTATTACTATTATATTTAATATACTATTGTAAAATGATTTAAAAAAATTATTTTAATCTTTTTTTGATACAATTACTAATAAAGATGCACATTTGAACAATTATTACACAGGTCTAGAAAATGAGACTTTTTTCCAATGTATTTTTGTCTGCTGAACGTGATCCCGGGTTCCAAAATTGCATATAACGTCAGGATTTTGAGTAAACAGGGGGTAAAGTCTTTCAAAATAGTGTTTTTAAGGGTTTTAATTTTTTTCTCCTTAACCCAACGTTCTAGACACTTCTATATAGGCTTAAATTAAAGCTTATATTTTACACTTTAAATCTCATATAAGCAAGATTTAAAAAAATTTTAATTAGGGTGAATACTTCACAAACCGATTACATTAAAGTTTAAATCGTACATTTTAATACCCATATGCACATAATAAAAAAAAATTTGAAATTTGGAAAAAATGTAGATAATGACCCCAATAATCTTTTTGGGTAACTTGAATCTTATTTCTATAAAAAAATTTTATCTTGCGCATATGAGTCTTAAAGTGTAAGATATAAGCTTTAATTTAATCCTATATAGAAGTCTCAATCACGTAAGGTTAAGGAGAAAAAAATACTGGAAACCCTTAAAAACACGGTTTTTGGAGACTTTATCCCCACTTTACTCAAAATACCCTGCAGATTGTGTAAACCGAGAAGTTGACTGAACTCGGTCAAGTTTTGGTTCGTTTGGGTTTGAGGCAATATATTGCAAAAAATAATTGAAATGTTGGTAAAATTGCTATAAGTAAGTAATAATTACTGTTTTCTGAGTCAATTTATGCAATATTATTGGAAAATTAATCTCTTATTATTAAATAATTAACTTTTTTAAAGAGTAGTGTATTTACCTGTCATGGTTTACTCAATTTTGTATGATTGAAAAAAAGGAAAATGACAGAAAATCAACTTTTTTCCTATTGAATTAATATTAATTATTTTTGTTATTTATACAATAAACTAATAGTAAATATATTTATATAAAATTTCATGTATGTCTGTCATAAAGCTTTGTACGCCAATCACGCAAAAACAGCTTAACCGATTTGCATGAAATTTGGCACTGTAGTAGGTATAAACACATGTTAGGTTTATAAACTTACAGATTTGAAAAATTTTAATTAGAACAAAAGTTGTTACTTTTTCGAAAAATTTGTTAAATTAATATTTTTGTAAAATGTTCTCTTATTTAAAAAAATGACTTCTTTAAGGTCTTTAACAAAGCTTTTTATGTAGAATAAGAAAATCTAAACCTAATAACGCGCGTAATACGGAAAGCTGGTAAAGAATTTTAAAAATATGACATGAAAAAATAGAAACTTATGCCGACAACAATTATTTATTTACATTTAATTAATCCATATTAATAAAATCAGAATCAAACTTTTGTCTGAACATTGCTCAGATTTTAAAATTTTTGACGTAGTTTGTCGTTATGAAGAACAAGAAGTCCAAAAATGTCCGTCCCTTAGGTATTAGCCTAACTTAAAATTTTAGCCATTTCTGATTAAAAAATATTAATTTGTATTGAAGATATGCTACTTTTTTAAAAATTTAAAAAATCAAAAATCTTCAAATTGATTTGTACCACTCTACGTGGTGCATTTTGGAAACAAAATCATTGAAATGTTTAAATTTAATAAAAAAAATTTAATTTGGTATAATTAAGTTTAAATCGGAATCTAAATTTGAGGAAGATATAAGTTTTTATTGACTTTGGTTAAATAACAATAAATTTTTATATAATTTTTAAGCAATACAAATGAATTCTGAGAAATTTATAGATGCTCATGGTGAAAATACTATGTAAATATTAATACTTTTAGTACAAATTACTAGAAGTCACGCGCCACTAGATGTCGAGACCCGCCGAATATATAATATATAAAAAAAGTTTGTTGTAACCTTAATATACAATGCATATTATCACCATAAAAATCAAAATTTTCGGGTATCGTGACTATGATTTTCGTAATCAATGCATCAAAATACATAAAAGTACGTAGTATAAGAATACCAAATATATTATATAAAAATTCTGAAAACCTTGTAAAAATTGTTTGCCCACGATTGAAATAGGCTTAAAATTTTCGTAAAAGGAAGTAGTTTTTTTGAAATAATTTGAAACTTTTAAAGGGTATAGGGGGTTAAGCATGCAAAAAGTGCGTCCGCAGCTAATTAATTCAAATTGGCACCATATATTGGTATCCCCATGAAGAAAAAAATCTGCAAGTATGAATCCTTAATACGCATTTTTGGTGGAGTTATGGAGCGGGAAAGAAAAATCAAAAACCTATTTTTCTCGAAAACCAATGAACCGATTTTAATAAGCTTTGGATATGTTATAAATAAAGTTAAAGCAATTCTAAGAAAAAATTTAAATTTTTTTTCAAAACAAGTAAAAAAAATTAATTTTGAAACTTTTTTGGGGCTGATTTTTTGAAGTGACCACTTTAATTTTTTAAAACATACCTTATAATTTATTTATGCAAAGTATCCTCTTAGGAATTAAGCAAATATTTTCCCGGATTCATTGTGAAATATTAACAATGTCATTTAATTTCTATTACATATTAAAATAAATTTATTAATTATTTATTTATAACAGCACAAGCCTGCAAAAAAATAAAATTTCTGTTAAAAGAAATCGAAAAGTCATTCACCCCAGTTTTTGATGCGCTGAATACGAATCTGGCAACGAAAACCTCCCATTATGCTAGCATTTAAAAAAAAATGGGGGTAAATGTCCCAAAAATCACGTTTTCGGCAGTTTTTGAACATTTCTACCGGATAAATCCGACGTACTAGAGACTTGTCGTAGGAGTCAAATAAAAGCTGGAACCCTGTACTTTACGACGATACACAGTGCGCCAGGAACGGGTAATTTCAGGCAGAAATTCTTATCTCTGATAGCATAAGAAATTTAAAATTTTCAATTATGCTTTCTACTATTTTTGGGTACGATGATTACAAGTCTAACATCAAATTTTAGAAATTGAAAATGGCGGATCCAATATGGCTGACGACTTTTTTAAAAAATTTACCCAATCATCTTAAAACTGATTACACGGGGGTTTTCGGGGTCGCTGATTACGAATCTAATATCAGATTTTCAAAATTCAATATGGCGGATCTAATATGGCGGAAAAATTTTATTAAAAAATTATCCAATCAGTTTGAAACTGATTACTCGGGGGTTTTTGGGGTTGCTGATTACGAATCTGATATCAGATTTTCAAAATTCAAAATGGCCGATCCAATATGGCGAACGGTTTTTTAAAAAATTTATCCAATCAGCTTAAAACTGATTACTTGGGAGTTTTCGAAATCGCTGAATACGAATCTGATATCAGATTTTCAAAATTCAAAATGGCGGGTGCAATATGGCAGACGACTTTTACAAGATTTAACAAATCTACTTAAAACTGATTGCTTGTGGGTTTTTATGGTTTCCAATTGCAAATCTAAAGTCGAATTTGATAAATTCAATTTCAGAAAATCTAACTCTCATAATTTTATGTTTGGAATTTATTTACAGAAAAGTAAAGAAATTCTGTCATTATAAATTAGTTTTTAGTATCATAAATATTTAAATTATAAGGCATTTTAATATGCAAATTAATGTTCGGAGATTAAAAATAGGTTACTTACCTCTTTAGGTACTGACAATAATTGTTTGTGTTAGAGACGCGAAGAAAGATTCATAGAAGATATTTTGGGATCAGATGTGTCCATTGCGCCCTTGAAAACATCCTCGAAATTGACTGTACGATTATGCGTAACGTTGCTGGCATGGGGTACAAATAATAATAATTAATATAAATTTTTGCACTGGCAGTAGCAAACTTATCGAATTTGTTGCAGTCAAGAGGACACTTCCCTGACAAAGCAATCAAAATAGTTCGAAAGTCACAAACTAATTGTGAATTGAGGCCTAGAATTTGAACAAAGAATTTTGGATTCGAAAAAGCTCTGCGGGCTGTATTGCCACCATTTGTAGTTCCAGAACTACAAGGTTTTGATTTATTTACTCTTAATTCTAATTCTTTCCAAAGTGATTCATGAATAAGTTTTTTTCGTGCCTGAAAGGATTCTTTTTGTAACTTAGTTCTCATCCGCCAAACTTTCACGTCAAGTCTATAAGCGATATGTAAACATAATTCTAACAGACGAATCCAGGCATGTAGTGGACTAATTCCGTGTTAAGGAGAGTTTAAATTTGGCAAAAATATGTCTTTTTGTTTATTCGAAATATCATTAAATGTCTTTGGAGTTGCATGGCAAATCGCACAAGTTTTCATCGATTTTGTACCCGTTATAATGTTTAATACTTTGCCGTCTATCAATGTTAAGAAAAGACAATAGTGAATGAAAACATGATGGTTTTCGTCTGGCAAAACATTATAAACTTCCAGCTTGTTAATCATTTGTTCCTGCAAATTAAAATTCGAAAATAAGATCAGCACGTTCAGAAATTTCTTTGGGGCGGAATGGATCGGAAAATGGAGCCGGAAACATAATTGATGACATCAATGTTATTAGGCAGCGCGTGATCCTCGTATACCGCAAAATACATAATGCGTAAAAATGCAATGCAATATCAGTCCGTGTGCCCAATTGCGGTTAACGCCGATTTGAAAAATCACTATGTCGATGATTATCTCAATAGTTTTGATACTCTGGAAGAAGCCGAGGAATGTGTAAGCGACGTAGCAGATATAGGCATATCTCTAGAACTTTTAAACTTTGAGATATTAGAAAAATTAATTTTTTTTCAGGGTGTCGACAGTATGAAGTATGAGTGTGTATTG